CCTTTGTATGTGACACTTTTGTTTTCCCTAGCTGTTTTCAGGAGTGTCTCCCTTTCTTTGGTTATGGGGAGCTTGATTATGATATGTTTCGGTGATTTTCTTTTTGATTTTATCCTTCCTGGGGTTTATTGAGCTTCTTTAATGTTTATATTTTCACTTTTCAGGATGTTAGAGAAATTGTCTTCCAGCAGTTCTTCAACTGTGTCCTTTGTGGACTCGTGTGATTCTTTTTGTTCTGGAATGCTGATAATTCTTAAGTTATTCCTCTTCATGTTGTCCAACGTGAATCTTAGATCTTCTTCAGATTATTTTATACTTTTTTCTGTTTGCCCTTCTATCTTAGTGGTATTGAGAGATTTGTCTTCCAGCTCACTGGTTCTGCCTTCCATCTCTTCTATTCTACTCCTTTGCCCTTTCAATGTATTGTCTATTTCTGATATTCTATTATTGATCATTTGGACCTCTTTCTGTAGGTTTTGAATTGTTTCCAATGCTGTATCTATCCTATTTGATTGTTCCTGTAGCACTTCCCTGACTTCTTACTTATTTTTCTCAACTCCATTGTAAAATGTTTTGAAACATTTGATAATCAGCTTTCTGATTACCTTCTCAGGCATTTCCAATGCCTGCGCTCCTACCAGAATGGAGTCTAGGTCTACCTCTAGGTCATTTGTCTCAGACATTTTATCTTTTTTCTGGACAGTGTTGATGTGGTTATCTGCTTTTGCTTCTTGTACATGTTTAGTGTTTATCTGTGACCTTTATAGTTAAATGAGTGTGTGTTTTGATATTTTTTATGCTTTTTGATTACCTCCAGGCAGATATGATCAGGATGTGGGCTTCCCTTTTCATACTTCTTATTGCTTAACTCAGAGTAACTTTCACATGTGTTTCTGCTTCCCTCATGTATGGCAGTTCATATTGGTTCTTGCCTGGGTTTTGGTGTTTTATAGAGTGTGATTGTAGTTTGACTATATGGCAGCAGTTGCTTACTCTTCTTGGGTAATGTCGAGAGAGAAAGAGTCCCCCAGAGGTAGAAGGGGAAGTCTAAAACATCAAAACAGCACCAGTGGGGGGAAAAAAAAATAAAATCAAAAACTAGACTGAATACTGAAGTCTCTAATCACAGAAAAGGGAGAGGAGGGAGAGAAGAAAAAATAAAAAGAGATTGTCCAATGATTTCCACATTCTGTTAGGTCACCTCTCTTTGGAATGGGTACCAGGATGGAGGTGCGCAAACAGTGGGGGTTCCAATGACCAGATACCACAAAAAAAAAAAAAAAAGGAAATGAAAATCAGAACAAAGCAAAACTGACAAAGTGTATTGTCTACCTTTGTTCCAAAGTTCCCGCGGCATTTTTCTGTGGTGTTTCTGCTCCTTCGCTTGGTCTTGTCCTTTGGTCTCATCCTGCCTCTGTGCCCGGCAGATTCAAAAGTACACAATTTCTTACTTCAAGTTCCAGTAGCTATAAGCCTTCAAACTTTTAAAATATTCTTAGCTATGTGGTTCCAAGTTTTGGAGCTCTGCCCTTGATCTGCTTTGCCTGGTATTCTGTAATATGGCTGACGGCGAACTTCACTGCACCTCAACCCTAGCTGCTATCAAGCCCCATCACTTCCATTATCTGTTAATTCTATTTTTTCATGACCTTTTAGAAGCCCCCTCATATGTGTACCGTGCATACACAAGTGTTTATATCTACCTTTAAGTCTATATTAAGAAACCATGAGTAAATGTGAATAACTCCAATTGCAGTCTGATGCTCTAAACTTCTTCTTTTCCATTTTTTTAAAACCTGTTCTGCAATATTGAGAAACCTGTCTCCCATTTTTTCAGTATATTCACTTATTTGCTTCATTCCATCTCTGAACCCACCAATGGCTGGTAAGGTTCATTGCTGTGGGAAAGTTTTCAAGCAGTGACATGTTGCTGGCATCAAGTTGATTCATAGTAACCCCATGTGTACAGAGTACAACTGCTCCATAGAGTTTTCAAGACTGTGACATTTCAGAAGACGACTACCAGAATTTAGACCTCTACTTACTTTAGTAATATTGCATTTGGTATTCTTTTTGCGGGGGAGGTGTTAAATTTTTATTGAGGTATAATATACATACCATACATACAATTCATCCATGTAAAGTGTATAGTATCATGATTTCTAGTATACGAGGAGTCTTCAAAAAGCTCGAGGAAGAATAGATTTCAACAATAATGGAGCTCCATACCTTAATGGCTGCTTCTTATTTTCCTCCCAATTCTCCTATTCCGGACAGAGACATTTGAATTTATGATCACTGAAGTTTCTTCTAAGATAGTACTTTTAGGTGACTCTTTTACTTACATATTTGATATTCCTTTAAGGTGACTGAAACAGTTATGGGGTGGCCTAGCATCTGTTTTTGTCCACATAGCCTTTCTATGTGGTTAGCATGTATTTCTTTACTGCGTGGCAATCTTAGAGTCATTAATCTTCTTGTATAATGACATCATTTCAGAATGTGATTCTAAGATATAAGCTGCAAATCATTTTAGGATTTAGCCTTTGAAGCCACAAATGTCATTTCTGCAGTATTCTGTTATTAAAGAAAGTTACCAAGAGCAGATTTAATGAGAAGGACATTAGATTTTGTCTCTTGTTGATCAATAACACTTGTTCACAGAAGGGAAAAGATTCAATGGCAACTATCTATAGACTGTCTTCCATTTTGAACCCCAGACTTAATTGGCATACTGCTAAATTTAGAACAGTTGTACTGTTGTAGTTCTTTAAGGAGAAATGAGCAGATATGGTGTGGCTCCAACTCAACAGCACTTAACAACAACAACAGAGTACAGATTATGTTATTAGTATTTTGTTATTGTTGTTATATGGCATCAAGTCAGTTCCGACTCATAGCAACCCTGCATAGGGTTTCATAGGAGCAGCTGCTGGTTTTGAAACACTGACTTTGCAATTAACTGTCCAGTGCTTATGCTACAGTGTAATTCCAGGACTATGTAAATAGCAATATTAGCCAACAATTATCATATCCTACATTTTGATTCACTCCTGTGACTTATTTCATGAGCAATAAAGAACTTTTTTAATACATTTAAAAAAATTATTTTTAATAATTTATGCTCTTTAGATATTTTATTATGTAGCAAAGTCTGGAAAGATTTTGTTTATATTTAATTCATTATGAAGTGGTAATAATTTGTATTGTTGTTGTTAAGTGCTCTCAAGTCGGTTCTGACCCATAGCGACTCTGTGTACAGTTTCCAAGGAGCGGCTGATGATTTTGATCCTCCAACTTTGTGATTCCAGCTGACCTTGTAGTCTAGTGCATTAACCCGCAACATCATGCCAGGACTCTAATAAAGTGTATAGCGGTGGTGATTATATACCAGAGAGCAGGTTCAGACTCATTGAGACCCTGTATATGTATATGGTTTCCGAGGCTGTAAATCTTTACAGAATCAGGTGACCTCAACTTTCTCCCAGGGGAGCATTGGTAGTTTCAAGCTACTACTGTGCATGTGCTTAGCAGCCCTACTTGTAATCACTCCACTACCACAGCTCCTTAATTAAGTGTATAGACAGATCAAATTTTATTTAAAATGTTTGCACTGAAATTGACCGGTTTATATGCTTTAACTCATTACTGAATTAGTAGTCATTTCTTTATGACATTATCTTTTTGCAGATGACTCAAGAGTAAAAAGATCTAAAGTGATAGCAGAAAAGAAAATACATCACAAATTAGGTAAGTTTGTTTTTATTTTTTTCTCTTTCTAAATTTTAGTAACTCTTTTTAAAATGGGGAAATATTATTTGGATTAATTGGCAGATAAATTAAAATTATGTATTTTTCCATGAATTCCATAGGAGATCGTTGTAGCCATTGATATACCCGGTTGTCTATTTATAAATCTTACAACTTTGTTGTCAATCTACAGTTCAAAAGAACCCTCCCATTCTTTGTCCTATATTAGGGAGAATGATCCCACCTAGCAGCACTTGTCTCTAAGTTTGTCTTACTGTGGTGGCTTGTGTGTGTTGCTGTCCAGGAAGCTCAGCTGAAACCTGTCTACTTTGGGTGACCCCACTTGTATTTCAAATACCTGTCTCAAAGCTTCCAAACGAAGACAGACTAGGAAGAAGTAGAGACAGGCTACTTATGACTATTTAGTCACTGAAAACCTTATGAAGAGTAGTGGAACACTGTCAGCATCAGATTAATGATTACTGAAACATAATGAAGAACACCAGATTATAGTGAGCTATAGTGCCGAAGGATTCTTTCATCAGGTTGGAAGGTACTCAGAAAGCGACTGGGGAATAGCTGCCTCCTCAAAGTAGAGTTGTTGTGTGTGGTGACACGAATGGAGTACGGCCCTTGGGACCTTCATTTGCTGATTGTGCACGACTCAAAATGAAGAGAAACACCTGAATAAGATCCATTAAGCAGGATATGGAATATACGAAGTGTGAATCTAGGAAAACTGGAAATTGTCAAAATTGAAATTGAACACATAAACAGTGATATCCTAAACAATAGTGAACTGAAATGGACTGGTGTTGACCATTTTGAATCTGACAATCGCATGGTTTACTATGCTGGAAATCACAAAGTGACAAGGAATGACATTTAATTCATTATCAAAAAGACCATATCAAGATCAGTCATGAAGTACAATGCTGTCTGTGATAGAATAATATCTATATGTATATAAGGGAGAACAGTTAATACCACCATTATTCAAATTTAGGCACCAACCACTAAAGCCTGTGATGATGAAATTGAAGAGTTCTACTAACTTCTTTAGTCTGAAATTGATCAAACATGCAATCAGTATGTGTGTTGATTATTACTGGCGATTAGAATACAAAGGTTGGAAACGGAGGAAGGATCAGTGGTTGGAAAATAGGATGTTGGTGAGAGGAATGGTGTTGGAGATTGTATGATAGAATTTTGCAAAACCAATGACTTCTTTATTATAACTACCTTTTTTTAAAAGACGACTATACAAATGGACCTCACCAGATGGAATACACAGAAATCAAATTAACTACATTTGTGGAATGAAATGGTGGAAAAGTTCCATATCATCAGCCAAAACAAGGCCAGGGCAGACTCTGGAAAAGAACATTAATTGCTCATATGCAAATTTAGCTGAAGCTGAAGGAAATGAAAACAAGTCTATGAGAGTCAAAATATGGCCTTGAAT